CTCCTTGAGGAGCTAGGTATTCTGTAAAAATGCCACGGTAGGTAAAGGGCTTCAGATTCCCCCACCTCTCCCATTTCAGCCAAAGTGCCTCCTCTTTTACCTATGGTTCTGCTAATAAAAATTTGCAAACTGCATTTAAAATATAAGCTCCCCTCTGTTACAAGGATTCACACTCGACAAACAACAAAAGCCTGGCCTACTGGCCACTTTCCTCTTCAGGGCCGATGGCAGAATTTTACATATTCATTAAAGTACTCTTTTCCTCCAACTCCAGATTCTGCCTCAGATTCCTTTCTAATATAGTATTCCCAGATGAAATGACTTCCTTTCCCTTGTTCTTATAACATCCTTGCTAAATATCAGGCGTTTGCATCCACTTAACTAAAACTGTATGGAAAATACATAAATAAATTGGGAACAATTATAGTTTAAGGAATTACATTAATAAAGGGATATAAACCTGGGTATGATTTTGAAATTTATCATTTTAAGTGATAATCTTAACTTCTTTAGATAAAGGAGATGAACACCTAATAAAAAAGGAAAAGGGTAAATCACTTGGACCTCATACTCTTGGCTTTTTTAAAACATTAAGAAAAAGCAAATATAAAAACTGGCTTTCAAGTTTCTAGTAGAATAAGAGTTCTAAAATAACACAGATTATTCTACTGCTGCTCTATACATTTCGAGTGACCATACTCGATTACAAATAAAATAGATTCAACATACTTTATGCTTTTCAGGAACATCCTCAAGTTCTATTTTTCTCTTTTTTTGAGTGCCATCTCCAGCAGAAGGTTCATCTTTTGGAACATCGATTTCTCTTTTTCTTTTCTTTGACATGCCTTCATCATCACCAGAACCTTTTTCCTCTGGGACAATTTTAGCATCAAGTTTTCTTTTCTTGGATGGATTATCTTCCCCACGACTGCAACTTTCCTTTACAAGATTATCTTCAAACTCTTTCCTCTTTCTTGGTGTATCTGCTTGCTCATAGATAGGAGTCTTTTCAGAAAGCCCAATTCCAGACGCTGTTGTATTTTCATCAATACTAAATGAAGACTCTGTTTCAGAATTTACTGAGGATTTTGCCTGTTCAAGAGACATCTTTTCATATTCCTCTGCATTTGCAGACTTTTCCATTGTTGATTACTTGAACTGATGGCAAAACTTCATACACTAACACTGGAATGGCAAAAATTTGATATTCGTAAACACTAAGACTTTAAAACAAATTTAACTACAATTTAATTTCCATGACTAACTAGGATTTTTAAAAAACCTCATTGTAGAGAGAATATTAAAAAATTT